ACTGGTCTTGTGAAGGGCGTCACCTGGGATCCTGTCGGCAAATATCTTGCATCGCAAGCTGACGACAAGACCCTTCGCGTCTGGAGAACAAGTGACTGGCARCAAGARACATCAGTAACAGAACCCTTCACWGAATGTAGTGGTACTACCCATGTATTGCGCTTGAGCTGGTCACCAGAYGGACACTATGTTGTGTCRGCTCATGCTATGAATAACTCTGGTCCTGTGGCCAAGATCCTTGAGAGAGATGGCTGGAAGAGTAGGATGGACTTTGTTGGGCACAGAAAAGCAATCACTTGCGTGGTATGTGTTACTGTTTAGTTTTTCTTAAGGCCAGTTTAGACGGTACAATTTTCACCTACAACTATCGTGTACAACATGCTCGCGCCATCCTAAAACTCGAGTCATAGTGTGTAAATCAAGCCTACAACTCACCTACGACAGACAGCATGCTGTATACAATAGTTGTAGGTGAAAATCGTACTGTCTAAACCAGCCTTTAGCCTACTCTCTGCTTTGATGATTGTTGTTTAATGTTTCTTTGATAGGCTGCCTGTGGTCTGTACATGAGATTAATGTGACTGAGGGAGACTGAGAGGAGAGATGACTGTCACAAACCACAAGACATCTCCTTTCTTTCTCCTCCCCGTCCTCTCTTCCCAACCCCTCTTCCCTCCTTTATTACACAGGGATCCCAAGCACCCAAGAAAGTAAAAGGGAGAGGCACATAATATAACTCGGCAATAAAAATCATAATTTCCTTCCCAATTGCAGTACATATCACTAGCCGAAGGGCAGCGCTATATTTCAGCTCTGTAGCTCACTCCATTCAACCAAATTTGTCCTCAGATTCTGATCGTTATTTTTTGTGTTTCAGAGATTTAACCCCAAACTATTTGTGAAAAAGGTTAATGGAGATTCAACAAGATTAAAGGTGCTAAATATTACTTCATTATTCAATATTTTGTGCATTCACTTTTCAAACTTGGATATTCTATTACGTGACTTGATATTACATTTAACTTGCTTTGATGCTATAAACTAACTAAAATTTATTTTTCTTTTAAATAGCAATATTCGTGTTGTGCTATTGGTTGCCGTGATCGTTCTTTATCCATTTGGGTAAGTTCATCAGCAACATTTTATCTCACTCGTGAATATCATGCAGAATTTTTTAAAGTTTATTAGCCATGCCGGAAAACGAGGAAAAAATTGGTCAAGTTGTCATTGCAGTGCATTTTGGGACTGTTTTAGGGTACATATTTTCGAAGATGGAGTCTATTTTGTTCCCTTAAATAACCTCAAAATGCACTGCAACACCAACTGGACCCAAGTTTCTCCTCAGCCTAAAAATAGCTTAAAGTGGCTGTGAAGAGCTGAAAAGTTTTTTTCTTAGTATCATTCCTGTTTTTTTCTTCTTCCAGTTAACATCACTGAAAAGACCTTTAGTTGTGATTCATGATCTATTCAACCATTCTGTTATGGATTTGTCTTGGTAAGTCCAATGTGCTTCTCTGACCCTTAGAACTCTTTTAAACATATGTTTCTGTGGCCCAGGGTTTTATACGAGTGCCATCTTTAAAATATGTTCCAGTCAAACTGTATGATTGTGTCGTTTATTGCAGGAGCCAGTCAGGATTCGAGTTGTTAGTTTGTTCATGGGATGGGACTGTAGCTTATGCAGATTTCTCACCTGAAGAGCTTGGGAAAGCCATGTCACAACAGGAGAAGGTATGATGTTCAATTACGTTAATGATGCTTGATGATGATGGTGATTGACGCAATAAGAGGATGATGAGATTGGTGAAGCTGATGGTGGAAGTTGTGGTGGTAGTGGAGATGATGATGATGGTTTTGGTGGTGAGGATGAT